TTTCCACATTTTAATGATAACCAATTTACAAGTTCAGATTGCTAATTAAACAAGTGTGCAGTATTTTGAAAAATTAACGGATTCGAGTACACGCTTAAAGTGTAATTAAAATGATGATAATTATGCGAGCAACTCTTAAATGTTAATGGGAAAATAGGGAAAATGTAAATGAATAGTGGTCAGTCAGTGGAAATAATTCTTGTAATTATGCGCTTGTATTACGGCTTGTATGACGGCCGCAACAACTACAACAGCAGCGACTAAAATGAAACAGCATTAAAATAAAATCAACTTGAATCCAATTAAAAGTTAAACGCTGCAACGTGCTAGCCAAAAAGTCGAGATGGTGCAACTTGAAATGTTAAATTTTTGCCAGCTTGCCTGCGCCCTGCAAGTGTGGTCAAATTCCCCTTTCTAACGGGTTATGAAGCATATTATAAATAACAGGCAAACACGCAAACCAGTTTGTGCAAGTTTATTTACCAGGTGGGATATTTTTTGGCCCTAGCTACTAAACGAGATAACGACGCCGCCGTTAGTCTCGAATCCTTGCGTGCCAAGCTCGGCCGGGACAGAAAAAGCCAACGAATAGCAAACTTTCCAACAAGACGCAATAATAACAACAACAAAAGCAATAATAAGAGGAAGAAGCAGAAGCGGAACACAAGTTTGATTAAGTTTCTTTGCCTTTGGCTTGCTTAAAGTTGCAATGTGCGATGGAAGCCAGCGAATTAACTAAGCCCAAACTTCTGTCAGGCCAAAAGACTTTGAATAACGTGCTTTGGTTAACTGAAACTGAAGACGCTTCAAAGTATGCTATACAAAAATATATAAATCTATATATATAAGAAGGCACGTGCGTTTTGAATACAATGGCAGCAGTGCCTGAAGTGCTTTTTCTGTGCAGGACACCAACAAATTGTGGTCAGGTGGGCAACGCCTTTATGATTATTGTCTTAAAATTAATCAATGTGTGCGTGTGCGTGTCTGCAACGGAACAACTTTAGAGCCTAATAGATTCCCGGCACAGAACCAAGCAAAAGCCATCTTTCCCCCTCAAAAACGGCTAAGAAATTAATCGACTTTGAAGTTCTGAAAGTTTCTGAAAGTTTATGTGTGCTTGAAATTAATTAGATTACCGGGCAATATTTGTGGCAGGCCAAAAACTTGAACATATTTTGGCATCTTTAAGTTAACCTCTGAATTGTAGCTTTGAGTGGGAAACGCGGAGCTTTAATTTCACACCTGACGTTAAGGAACTGCCTGGATTTACAATTTGTTGACTTGCACAACTTCAAAAGGCCACCAAGGATGGCATCTTTTGTTGCTGTTCCTGTCGTTGATGATGTCGTTGGTCTGAAGTCTTATAATCTCAGCATATGCTACACCTTATGCAATCTCGCATAATAATGGTGGTGACAGCTGGCGATTATTGTTCTTGTTTTTGTTGGTGTCACTGTTATTTCTATGGCAGCCACAAGATCAAGTTTTTGCCATGCTTTCGCTTAAGTTGATGACATTCTTTGTTAAACTTAGGCATCTGTCACTTACATGTACCTAACTTGCTTCCGCCTAGCTTTTTATAACAAACTGTTTGTTTTTCAACGCTATTAAATTCCACTCTGAAAGATATATCATTTTATTTGTCTTCTTGAAAATTAACACTCTATTAAATAAAACCATGTTGCTCTAATTGTATAACGAATTAAAAGAATAATTATGGATTTCGAATTAAAAAAATAAAAATATCTTATCTCTGTTATTCTTAAAGATTTTTAAGCGGAAGGCAACGAATCTCTTGGTAACAAACGGCATACAACGAAAAATGTAGCTTTGCTTGTGAAAAAGCGGTGTGAGCGGTGGTAATGGCAAAATTGTATTCTGCATCTTAAACACGTTTCATACATCATAATCAAATAATTAAAAGTTTCCTAAAGTTCTTAGGAAATTCATCTGAAGTTAAGTCTTATGTTTCAGATGTTCTTATCGTGAACATAGGCGCCTATGTAAAGTTCGGTGTACGTGATGGGTGGAGGGGAGTGGGGCAGTGATAAGGGGATTTTTATACATTCTGAATTGAGATGAACAAACAACAATTTAATAATTTAAAAGAATAATTGTATTGTATATCAAAATTATATTGTGAAAATATACCCATTTCGCAAAAGATAATTGTGATTATACTTTGCCTATGCAGCAAAATTATTTTTAACAATTATAAGCTTTTAGCAAATATTTCAAAATTGATATTGAATTACCAACTATTGACTATTTTTATTATAAAAATATGAAATCAAGTTATCACAGATTTCAAGTCAAGTTGTAGTAAAAAGTGGACAAAATATATTATCTTTTATACGTAATATTCGATTATCAGCATTATTGATCGACAATTGTGAAGCTTATAATGGGTATTGTGGATAAGTGGATTGAAATGGTGCAGAAGTGTCAGTATTTGCCGGAAAATGAATTGCGTAAGCTGTGCGAAATGATATCCGACATACTTCTGGAAGAGAGTAATGTGCAGCCAGTTAGCACAACTGTCACAGTTTGCGGTGGTATACATGGACAATTCTACGATTTGCGAAATCTGTTTAGCACCGGCGGCGATGTGCCCAACACTAACTATATATTCATGGGCGATTTTGTGGATCGTGGTTACTATAGTTTGGAAACCTTTACACTATTGATGGCTCTTAAGGCACGCTATCCCAGTCGAATAACGCTGCTGCGTGGCAATCACGAGACACGGCAGATCACCAAAGTGTAGGGCTTCTTTGACGAATGCTTCAGTAAGTATGGCAATTCAAATGGTTGGAAATATTGCTGTAAAGTATTCGATCTGCTCACCATTGCTGCAGTCATCGACGAACAGGTGCTCTGTGTGCACGGCGGACTCAGTCCGAAGATTGTGACCCTGAAGCAAGTACGCACCATCGATCGCAATTCTGAAATACCCTGTAAGGGTGCTTTTTGTGACCTGGTCTGGTCCGATCCAGAGAATATTGAGGCTTGGGATCAGAGTCCACGCGGCGCCGGCTGGTTATTTGGTCGCAAGGTGACAAACGATTTTATGGCCATCAATAAGCTCAGTCTTATCTGTCGTGTCCATCAGCTGGTCGATGAGGGACTCAAGTATATGTTCCGTGTGGTCTGCACCCAACTATTGTTAACGTTGCGGCAATGTGGCCGCCATACTGAGCTTTCGAACCGTTCAGGAGCATGTTAAGCATATCTGTCTAGCGATGCCAGACGACGAGCGTGTCATACCTAAACAAAATGTCACGCCCTACTTTCTATAATTGCCAACAGTTTGATCAGGCATCCCCTATAATCCCAAAATATAAAGTACCCCAAATACACACACATTGAGAAATCTTGTCCCAAACACATGTAACAAATGAAATCACAATATTTATTGAGTTTCAAGCATTTGTTCGACCCACTTGAATTGATTCCTTAAACCCTTCTGCACCCTAAAAAACCAAAGAAATAAATATACTAGCATATAAACAAATCGACGGCAGCCCTACACAGTTCATCATACATAAGTGTTTAAGTGTGTGTTGCTTTAAATTAAAAAAAAAAACAGGAATTCTATCTATATCTAGAAAGTGATAGCAAAAACCACTTGAACGAGCACATTGATTTCCTATATTCATGTCAGTAATTATTCAATTATTTATTTTCAACAATTTTATCTGTTCTAATCAAGTTGCTAATAAATAGCATATGGACAATCTGTTGAAATTGCAGTTGAGGTATGAAAATAATCAATTATCAGTTTAATTGTTTGTTACCGAGTTAGTTTAGGAAAATTTAGCTGTTTAATATTTGTATATCTAATTTTTATGTACATAGAATTGAGTTCAATATTTTTGGAGTTTCCAATCGGTCTCGAGTTTGAAGACCGTAAGACTTAATTGCAAAATAATGAAATAAATATAAATCAATAAACTATATTTAAAATACACAAATTAAGTCAGCTTCTTACCATTTAACAGCTGTTGGACAAGTTCAAATGAATATGTTGTACATTTGCCTTATTTCCTGTGAAGGGTATTAATTTGTGGAAACCCGCAGTTAACAACTGCTTTTACAGACAAAATGAAACAAAAATGGATGGCTTTCGATAAAAATTGATGTTTATTTTCAGTTGATTAGAGCTCAGAACAAAGCAAACAGTATTCAATACCAGCTATTTTACTCACTTGTTTTCACTTTTGGTTTGCCAGACACGAGGGTTACCAGGGGCATGTCAAATGTCAACCGCCATTTTATACCATTTTAAATGGGGGCCAAAAGAGGATGAAAAATAAAATGTTGAAACAAATTGAACAGCATTTTTCAGCTGTCAGCAGTTTAACTTGATGAAACAGGCAGCCCAAGTGGCTCCCAGTCGCAAGCGTCTGACACTAACCACCACCCAGCACCCACCACCAGAGTGACTGACACAGAGAGCCGTTTTTGCAACGCTTCATTTGGCAGCATCGTCTATAATATGTACAAAAGTATACAATGTGAAGAGGACTGCTTTTTATGTCGATTTCATAAAGTTTTTGATTTAGCGCCTTGGTCCATAAATTGTAACCAGCGTATTCCTCCTAATGGCAGCCTTAAGTGTCCTCCGTGTCCACCATTTTGTGAGCATTAGCTCCGTCATTATTATTTGTGTGTTTCCATTTCCTTCTTCCACTTATTGTTCTGATTATGATGCCATTTTTGACACTAGAAAAGGTCAATAAATATAATGGACACAGGCGTTAAATGGAAGCTCCCAGTCGAGGCTGCTTTGAGATATCGGCTGATGTTTAGCATTTTAATTGGGTTCAATCATTCGGTCTCTATGTATTTTTTATTTGTAAATTCCAGTTGAGTTTGATAAATGTATATACATATATATATATATATATATATATATATATATATATATATATATATATATATATATATTGTAATAAATTTTAATATATTTTAACCTCTGCCTCTTTTATTTTCAGTATATCATAAAATTGCATTGCTGATTGATCAATTCATGTGCTACGGTATGTTTGAAATTTTAAATCTAAATTATTTTAAATACATTTTTTAATGGCTACGATTGTAAGTGAATTCGTTAATGGCAGGTTAATTAGTCAACTACTCATGTCATGTCGTATATTTCATTTATTATTAAATATGGGAATTGGCTAAGTTTAATGGCATACAATTTCAGATACCATAATTTATGGTTGTCAACACCATTAATTTTCAAGTGATATGCATTATAAGATTAATTATTGAGAATTTAATAGATGTAGGTTATTCGATATAATGCGAGTTTTAATTAATTATCGACATTTTGTATTGTGGTGCAATTTATAGAACAGTAATAATGTTCCAAACTTGCTCTTTTTTTGCATATATTTTTGATATATTTTCTTATTTTCATATATATGCTGCTGATTATAACATACTAATATTTTGTAAGGAAACATATTATTTTTGCTCTCCAGAATGGAATCCGATAATTATATAAAATCAATTTGGAAGTTCAAAAACTTGCATTCCTCGTCTGCCTTTTTGGCAATCGTAGTTTTTGATTAGTTTCCGTGCCGTGTTAAGAATACAAAAGCGTTCCCTAATCCAGTTAAATTAAACATTATTATTGATTATAAGTCATACATTGTAAGTCTCTGCCAAATACTGTGATAAAATAAAATAGAATGTTATTTCATGTTACTAAACGTAAACGCAAAGTTTAAATTGAGTGAAAATAACAACAATAACCACAGACAATGGAGCTAAGTGACATAAGAGCGCAAAATGGCTAAATTGCTAAAAAAAAAAACAACAAAAGCAAACAAAATGGCTGCCGACGCCATTTTATTTTATTTTAATTCAAAGTCTGTTGTGGACTTGCTGTGTGAGTGTTGGTTTTTAGTTGAAGTGCTCCAGATTAAATGCAGTTTGTTGAACTTTCCCAGTACAATTTGTATTACTAATGCGAACGGCAAACTACAGCCAGCGAAGAGATTCAAGCTTGAAGCGAGCCAATGAATCGAATGATTTGGCCAGTTGAAATGAGGCAGCAGTAGTGGAAGTAGCAATGGCAGAAGAAGTTGCCCCCAGATGCCAACAATATTTCACTTTTGGATAGCTAAAGAATGATCTGAGTATCAGCAGGAAGTTAGTCAGTAGCGGAGAATAAGACCTACAGCAAATGGATTAAATATGCAATACGAGTCCGAATTCCAGTCCGAGTAGGAAGTTGAGTCGTGGCAATAGCAGAGCAGGTTCAGACTTCAAGCGGAATTCATGTTGTCAACAACAAGAACAACTAAGACAACAACAGCAGCCAACAATCTGCAGTAAAATCTTGCCTGAAATGCGCTCATGTGTAAAAATGCCATTGTTTTGTATTCGGCCGTAAACAAAACGGGGAACCGAACGGAATACAAGAAATACTTCTTTCCTGTGTTTTAAAAACTAGGCGAAAAGGTAAAAATCTTTTAACAAAAGTGAAAAGCAACAAGAAACAACGCCTACTAACACTTGGTGAACACTCTTAGCTGGTAGATCCTTACATCTCCATTTTTTTATTTGTGTTTTCTTCGCTTGCTCTCATACAAGCTGCTAAAGTGCTATTGGGTTTCTGGGTCTGCTGCTTTTTGCCGTCGCACATATACAGTCCGTAAAAATTTGTTGCTTTTAAAATGAAGACCAACGCAACTAGCAAAAGAAAAACGTAGCAAGACGAATGTGGCACAAGTAAGTGAATATGTTATAGTTTAATGTTTGATTCACTTTATGTTACTCTAAATATTCTGAGCAAGATATAAAATAATTGCTATTATTATTATTGAAGTACATTTAACATAGCTAAAATATATATGTACTGTATATTAGAGTCTGAAAGTAATATGAAATATTCGTTTAGCATTCAAAAATGAAATATTTTGATACATTATTATTTCCATTAGATGATTACAATTCCCTTAAAATGAATGACTTGAAATCGTGTTTAAGATTTAAACAATATTTTCAGTAAGTGCTACAATTGACTTAGATTATGTGCCACAATATAAATCCAAAGTTTATATTAAATATACATACTTTGCATTACAATACAAATATGAACTATGATTTTTCGTTGATATTAGCAGAAAACTTGAATCCCCCTTTTCTTGTCTGCAGGGCATTTAAAGTTGGTTTTTGTAATTCCAATGTAAAAACTTTTCTAAGGCTTGGCCAGGCTTGGCTGTCGGGGCCGTAGGGGCGCTGCAATAACAAGTCATAAAATATACAGCATAACAAAAGCAAACAGACGAACTACAGGGAAGACAGTGTAGTGACAGTGGAGACATGGACAGCAGATGGTACAGTTGAGTGCACAAACTGCCCACAAAATGGTTGACGTCTCTTTTTGTTGTACATTGCAGTGTTTGTTGTTGCTGCCATCGTTGTTATTGCTGTTGCTCGTTTCCTGTTTCATAGCAGTTGAATATTTGGCATGTGTCACCACAGCAAAAGCAAACCAAAATCTTCGCACTACAATTGAATAGAGTAAAAGCAAAACCTTTCGAGCTCTCGACAAATGGAAATGCATTTTCACAAATTCCATTTATGTGAAAGCGAATCCTTTGAAAACCAACCAGTTGCCAGCTTCAACAATGCTAACCATTAATAATACAAAATGCCTGCACAAATTGAGCATCGCAAAGTTGTTCCTGTTTGCAACGAAGTCATAAACTGGCATATAAATTATTACCTCCCCCAAAAAAAATCTGTATACACAGCACAGTTTATAAAACATAACAAATTTATAAGGCAAGAACAAAAAACTATTTCAAACTTTTCGACAAACTGAACCGTAAAACTAAATAAATATAACGTACATTTGTGGAATCAAAGGAGAACTGCAAATAGAATTAAAGAATCAGATACACTTAAATAATTAAGTAGAATAAGATTATAATATTTTACAATAACTTTATATTTTAGACGCTTTTATGAACATGAAGCTAGATGGGTCTGTTGTAAGATAGATAAGTATCTACGAGAATTAAGTCAGTGAAGAATTGATTTTGAGCTACATAAATATTAATTATAATTTTGAAAAAAAAAGAATATATATATAATATTATATATATTAATATTAAAATAAACACGACTGCGGTTCTAAATAGTAAGATTGAGTTTAGCATTTCTCATTGCTCCTTCCTGACATTTAAATTGATTGGAGCCTTTAATGTTGTTGCTGATGTCGGCTGAACAATGGCAGCACACTTACCATTTGTCTGATTAATTGCCATTCATGAATCACTCAAATGGTTTTTAACCTTTTTCACCTGCTGACAGTCCTGATTTCAGTGGGATCGATAAGAATGAATTTGTGTATTGACTTTAACCTTTGCCCATATGCATACAAACATATATATAGTATTTATATTTCTTATTTGCTGTAAATATATCTATAGATTTTTTGTCGTTTTCCTTATAATTTGCTTTATTCTCGTTTGCTACTGCTGCTCCATATGGCAGCAAATAAATATTTCATATGTTCAGCTCAATATGGCGACTGTCGTGCCGCCATTTTGCCATTCGCCATATTTCATTTCCGCTTGGCGTTGGCTTTGTTTGTTTGCCTTTTTGCTGCTGCTGTTATAAATGCCATTGTTATTGCTGTTGTTGTTGCTTGTGCTGCAAAGCTCAATTATTTATGCATGTCACGTCATTTTCGACTAACCAACAACAACAACTAAAACAAGATTCTGAGTTGGGTAGAAGAAATTTGCGCAGAAATTCAAATGACACTACCAAAGCTTTGGCAACTTATTTTATTTTATTTTTTATTATTATTTTTTTTTTTGTTTGCCAAACATTTTTGCAGCTGCTCTAATTCTTGGGGAGGCATGGCACAGAGGTAGGCGCTGCTTATTAGATTGCCGTTATGCGCAAGTATGCGTCTGTGTGTGTTGTATGAGTAATGCTTTTAGTTAGATTTATGAGCATGAGTCGCAGTCTACAGCTGAGGCGTTCATGGTGGGCGGGGCATTTCCACACGTGCATGTGTTGATGGCAATTGGATTGTAATTTTTGTACATGACATTTTCATTTTTATATTGTATTTTGTGCGACTTTTTCATTGGGCTTGAGCAAGTTACTCACTTTATTTGTTGAAGCTGTACACAAAGGAATATCAGTTGGTCAGCAAGTCAATCAGGGCAGGCTGTCAGTCAGCCATCAATCACTTGAAATTGTTATATTTTAAATTAAAATCAAAAGTTTTCACTCATATTAAGTATACGCCTTCGCAGTGGCTCTTCTCAACGTTTTTTTTTTGTCACACACGCACAGAGCACATTAAACAAATACATAGAATTTAAGAAAAATTAATTCAACACGCGCACAACAATAAATTTGTACAAAACACAAAAAAAAGTAAATAAATAAAGTGAAGCCCATGCGGTATTGACTTCAATGAAGCGTTAAATTGAATTGTTGTCGCTGTTGTACCCACGTTTAATGCTCTGCTGTTTATTTTTGCTGAACCCATCTCTACTCAGTAACCGCACCCAGTTTCAGTTTTTATGTAAAAGTCTATCATGTTATTATTATTATTATTATTATTATTATTATTATATTATTTGCAATTTGGCAAGCAGTGCGTCGGCAGTCAAAGTTGAAGAAGACGCTACGTTTTATAGCCATGCAAATGGAAATCCGAACCCCTGTCTTGGGGCCCTCCGGACAAGGGAGTGGAGGAGATGAATATGTTCATTGTAATCAAGTCATAAATTGCTCAATGCGTTAGGCCGGAACTTAAGCGACGTTCAACCCGTTGCCTAACAACAAAATGGAGCTATTTTCTAAGAAGCACGTGCCAAGAACACACACACACACACACCGACGTACCCAAACGCTCAAACAAGAACTTAAATACACAAACATATATTGTGTAACCTAAAGATGCAGCAGAATATCCTTCGTTTGGCTTTCAATAAGAAGGGATTAAGTTTTAAAGTAATCTACAAACGAGAAGAAGTTGCTCGCTCTTTCGTTA